GTGGAATCACATTTTACAAATTATTTAATCCCAGCTCCATAATTTAGAATTTGCATATAGAAGGTCAGGCCTGAAGACATTGTGTTTACGTAACCCGAGAGGCTTTTCCAAAGGCAAGGCCGGGTTGCTGCTGGGCTGGGCTAAAGGGCTGTCTTTCCCTTCGTGCCACTCCAACACACCTGGCTCAGGACTCACTTTGGCCTTCTGTGCTGGGGACAGCAGGTCTGGTCTGAATTTAGCATTAATCTGAACAGAGTAAGTTACAGAAAGTTCTTCAGCTGACATGCAGGCGTCTGAGGAGCTATGCAGTCAGTACTCAACGTGTTTCCCATCCCAAATATGCTCAGCCTTGCACCAGCCTTGCGCCAGAGGAGAGGTGCTTGCTCCGGTGCCTCTGCCCCAGGTTTTTATCAAGTAGGGAAAATAAGGGGTTCCATGTAACCATGAAACACAGATAGAAACCAAGGCCAGATTTGATGTTCTAAGTGGACGTCCCTGGGAAGATTTGAGTGTCATAGGCTGGTCGGCAGTCCTATTCCAATGCCAAGTGATTTTCCTACCAGTTCCAACCGAGCCCTTCTGCAGTTCAGAGGTTTGATTATTTTGCTTTGGGTGTGAGAGTGTATTCAAATCTGAAAAGCAAACAAATCTTTCAGGGTGCTTACCCATGCCAAGAAAACCAAGAGCAGAGGTTTGCTCATGCCTTTGGCTGGAACCAGCCAGGTCAGAGCTGTAGGTAAGGTAAACATGAGTTGAAAACACCCTGACTTGCTTGCCTGCTGCTCATTGCACAGTTGGTGAGCAATTCCTCCTCTTTCCTTCTCTTCTTCTCTGTTTGTTCAGAGGTAGGTTGTTGACTTCACTCTCTGCCCTCCTCCAACAACTCCGGAAACCAGAGGAGACCAGAGCATGAATCACAGCCTGAGTCACCAATCCCAAAGGCCCTGCTTTGATCAGAGCTGGAGGGGAAAATTCCTTTCCTCTATGTGGCTCTTCGTCTTCTGCAACCCTCTGGAAGGAGCTACAGACACTCCTCCTCTTCTTCCAAATCTGCTCTCCATTGTGTGTAGGTGTGCTTGAAAACAGCACCTGAAGACCTTTGCCTTTCCACATACCTGCCCATGTCTCGGTGGGCTCTGTGGCTCACCCTACACAGGGGGGTTTTGGTCCTAGGCTCCTAATGGGCTATGATATTTGTACACCCCAAAACACAGGAGCTTGAGTGAAGCAGCTCCATCCCTGTATTTCAGACCTTTCCTTACAACAGGCTCCATGTCGCTTATATAGAACCTGAATGCTTACAGTGGTTTCTTTGGATGGATGCCATTTTCTGTTGGAGCAGTACTCGTCTCTCACCATGGTGATTAACAAAGAAAGAGATAGCAGGTAGTATCAAGTGAAAAAAAAATTGCTAATTAGTCATATTCACCATCACTTGTGAATTTCCCCATTAAATACAACTGTTTGTTAGGGATTGTTGCTTCCTCTTTAAGTGTTTTTACCAGCTCTTTGTTAAGCACTGTCAGACCTGTCCTGCAGCAAAGTCAGAGACAGGACAGTCCTTCCGGTGTCACTGCAATACTTGGGTGTGGTTTCTATCTGTGCTGGACTGGCCTGTTTTCTCTCTCTCACGCCACTATGTGGCTACTCAAATCACCTTTAGCTCTTTAGAGATGAATCAAAGTTTCAAGCTTGGAAACTTTTTCAAACTTCGTTGCTTAGCTAACTGACAGAAATCCTCTGAAACATCTTTGGAAGTGGGTCTGTCAGGCTGCTGAGGCATGTATTTCTGATCAGACTTTCCAGAGAAAATGCTTTCCATTTCTGCTGCCCCAAGAGTCTGGAAGCACTTGACTATACAGCTATGGAACATATGTCTTCTTCAAGAAAAAAGTGTTTTTACCTGCAGACCTTTGTATATTTTTCAGTTACTATCTTTTGAGTTAAAAATTTTGACTTTAAAGTCTATTTCGATTCCCCACTAGGAGATTTTCAGGAGCTTTCTAGTCCAGTTTGATTGGGAAGCCAACCAGGGAGAGAATAAAGTCACCAGATGTTTCAGTTACAAAGTAACCTACCTCTGACATAAGAATTACAGCCCTTTGCCTCTTAGAGATGCGTTGAGGAGGTGAATATGGTGGCTCTATATGGTGGAGAGAAGAGAGACTCCCTCTCATAAGAAGAGAGAAATGTTTTCTGAAGTGCAGGAGATGCCCCCCCACACCTTTGTAAATATTCTGAGAATTATCACAGTCCAGGGGACATTCAGACTTCAAATAGCTCCATATTTTTCCAGGCTGAGAAAAAGATGATAGTGTGTGTGAGAAGAGCATTGGGAGTTAAGAGCTGGGTTGCATGTGAAGCTGAGAGATCTGTGCTATCTTTGTGTATTATAAGTGCCAGGTATGGGGGAAAATGTACTAAGGATTTTAACCTACAGATTTTATTATCTTCTAAAGAGCCACAGACTTGCATTGTGTAGAATTGTCCATATTGAAAGATAAACACCTACCTTCTGTTCTGATGTGGCATTATAAAACTGTAACCCTGATTTAACTGAACCAGAATTTGCTCCAAAATGAAAATGTAGTGACTGATGGTAACAATAATAATTGTGTTATGACTATACTAGAAACTACCTTTTTGTTTTATCTCATTGAATTGATGCCTTTAATTTGGGTGAGTGAAACAAGACTCTCTTAAAAATCTTGGGATGGAAACCTTGCTGTCAAATCAAGCAATGCCAGGATCCCAAAGGATTTTACCCATCCTTCCCACATCAGCGTGGCTACTCTCATTTGAAATTCTACTCTTTTAGAGATAGTTAAAGCCAACAAAACACTGATCTAGCAGAGGAACTTCCTAATCAACTTACCTTTAGATATCACTTTTTCCTGTGCTTTTTTGTTGTTGTCAATTCTGCTACTTTCTTTTTCTTCTCTTCTCTCTCCAGGCAATCTGGGGAGGTCTGTTCCTAATAATTTGCAGAAACTTAGCTATTTTATTCGGGAAAGACTTATTCAGATAGTCTTTGGCAGCCACCCCATTCAGAGGCAGGCACTTAGCCTCCAGCCATGCTGTCCTTGCCAAGATGTATTATAAAATATTACCTCACAAGCAAATAGGGAACTGATAATATCAAATAGAATTTGTAAGTTTTGTATAGGCTGTATTATTCATTCTCTCTACACTTAAAAGTCTGATATCTTGAATCTAAGAATAAGCATTTGCTAATTGCCAGCTGTTCAGCTGGTTGGTCCTTAATTTGAGACACTGCTGGTGGCTGGTACGTTTTGGTGGCTGAAGGACTCCCACTGAGTCCTTTGAGCACATGCTTTGAAGTGTTACATTACCAGGGGCTAGTAAGAGCCACAAGGTGACCTTCTACATTGAAAGGGAAAGCACCGGGTTTTGGAGCTCTGCAAGGCTGTAGACACAGCAACAATATTAAAGGACACAAACACAGATGTCAGTTACAAACAGGGAAATAAAATGGCACTTACAGAAGGATGTGTTTTTTTTAGTAAGAGCAAACGTTTTCAGTTGATTCCACTTCTTTTTGGCTTTATATAGTTACAGTGTTCTGATAGAGTTGTGTCTTCATAAGCTGAGGGAACGTAATCTAATCAATGCTTTTTTCATGCCACAGGAAAGATGCTGTAGCTGAACAAGTGCCTTACAAGGACACTCCAAGGTATAGAGAGCAATTGAAGGAGACTTAGGAATGTTGTTGTAAATAGAACTGTTAGAATATGGTTCCACAACAGCCTAAACTGGGATAAACTGAGCCTAACATATATCCCACATTTCCTACTGACTGTGCCTTGCACTCTGGACTGGACAGTCATAGGGTTCAAGGGACCCACCCAGATGAAAAACTGCTCCACACCTTCCCCGTAGTAGGTGATTGGATTTGAGTTGGATCAGTATGAAACAGCTCACTGCTTGTTCGGACATGAGCGCTGACTGGTAACGGCGAAGGGGTGGGAACACAAGGGCAGAGCAAAGGTAGTCCTGATGTAATCCAGCTTGAGCTGCTATTGAAACTACCCATAGACTGTGTAAATACTAGTAAAATTGGATGGGCCTGGGAATATTTCCAGGCACTAGAATGAGACTGTCTATGCTATTAAACTGTTAAAATATTCCCTGGCATGAATTTGACCTCTTCCAATTAACACTCACTGCAAACAATTTCTGGGCACAATTTGGCTGCTAAAATGGTCCCAATGGGCACTTTGCAAGCACGAACTTTCTGTGCCAGTTAGCCTCAATGCCCAGGAGTGTTTCAGCCATATGGAGTTTAACTAGTAGAGACCCATCCCTACTTTCACATCCTGCCCCAAGACTGCAGCTACTATCAGTCTGAAAAGGGAGGTCTAATCCTGCCAGATCTCATTTGATGAGAACAACCTAGTCCTTGTGAGCTAACTTGGGTAGGATGTCTGACTGTAGAGAAGAAGGATATATGTTTTCAGGCCAGCAACACAAGTGACTAAATTAGAATTTCATACTACCCTGTGTAGCCTATTGCAAGCACATATGAAAAGACAGGACTTGTCTTGAACAAATGATTTTCAAAACAGACAATAGCAGAGCAGAAAAGATGGGAAGAGATGGAACATACAAATAAGAAATTTTATTTCCTTTTAATAAGGTGGTCAGAAATGCATATTTTGCATTCATTTCAGGTTGGGAAGGGGAAAGGGGAGATAGCAATAACTTGTTATGCAGTTGTATCTGTGCTGTAGAATATTCAGTGACTTATTAGGCAGAGTTTTTTTGACATGATTTTTTTTTCGAAGTCAGCTGCAGAACTGGGAATGCAATTATTCCTCTTTCTACATATAAAAAAAATACACAACTGCAGCATTTCCCTTTCAGTTTGGAATATTAATAAAATCAATTACTATGTATCTTGAAATACTGAAGCCAGGTCCTCCATTTTAATATGTAATTGCTTTTTGGTTTTTGCTTTTTGTTTGTTTGTTTTTTCACAGTTGCCTTTATGAGTTTCCCTACACATCAGGAAATCTGAAAAAATGGAATTTTTACATTCTCCAGGTACACTCACTTGGTAATGGTAATGATCCATCTCCTCAGTGCACTCCCTCGGTGAACAATTAAAGGTGTTATTTTGAAGGAGCCTTTTAAGCTTCACTGTACACATACAAAGAGTCTCCTGGCCGGGTTGCTCTAGGACCCAGAGTGACTGGGATTGACAGAAATCTTCACCTGAATGAATTTTCCCTGTATGCCTTATAAGGAGTCCAGGAAAACAAGGAAGTGATAACCATGTTCACGTTACTGTATGCACAGCTTGTCCTCTTTACCTGCCCAGGTAGCCCTTGTTTTCACTTTTGTTCATGATCCCTCCTGCCGGGGTTGAAGTTTCCTCGCAATCCGGTGTAGGTGAAAACATACCCTCCAGGAATGTATAATTTGTACGACATTCTACCTTTACACAGATGATAATTAACAAGCTAATACTTTTTTATCACGCAGCCAGCACTGAAAACGAATGGGGATTGAATTGCTTTGCCTCTGTTTCCTATTCCTCCAAAGAAATAACTATGTGCAAGGTAAGGCTCAGGGGCAGGGAGATCCATTTCAAAACCTTTTCTGCATTGTTTCTTGCTTGAAGTTGACATGAAATAGCTTTGTGTCTTCTATATTTAATCCTTCCTTTCTGTTTAATGATTTTTTTTTTTTGACAGACTGTTCTAGGGCTACACTGCCAATTCATCTCTGATTTGGTGGTCATTACATAGCACAACATGTTTGAAAGAGACAGACATTTGAGCAATTTCGTTTATACTAATCATAGTTTGATCTGCTGAGAAACTTTAATATTATACATATGACTGAGTGTTTCACTGGTATTTGCACAATGGATAAAAATCATATTAAGTACCAACCCAGCTGAATGAAGCAATTTTAAGAGTATAGAGTGAACATAAATCTGTTCTTTTAATATCCCTGGTTATGTTGGAAATTGCTTACCTATACCGTACCAGAAACACATGTAACCCTTTGTCAGGTGCACTAGAGAAAACAAGTTAGCATGCTTTCAGTGAATGCCACCCATAAAGCATGCAAAAGTAAGTATGTTAATTGCCAGCAATTCTGAGCTTTTAATCTTTATTGGAGAGTTAATCTTCTACCAATAGAACTACCACTAAGAAGGAATTTTATCAGTAATCCTAAATATGGCTAAACATGTGCATTTTTCACCTCCTACATTTTCTAAATTATTCGTTTCTTCATAAATTGAATGATTAAGCATATTATTAATAGCCTTTTATCTTCTTGGATTTAAATTTAGGGACCTGTTCTCAGGAAAGCGCAGTGACTTGTGAAGATTGTTTGCTTTCCGGACCACACTGCGCTTGGTGTTTGCAAGAGGTACAGTGATAAAAAAAAAAAATTCAAAGTAAGACTTGAAGTCTTTGTAGTCACTCTGAGTGATGAAGTATTGACTTAATTGGGTCAGCCTATGTTTTCGTAATGCATACAGCACTTAGTGAAGCCTTCCTGGGGATCAGAAGTGGAATTGAATGTACCCTTCATGGTCTATTATTCATTGTTGGGGTGTGATTGGTTTTTTTTTTTGTTTTGGTTTGGTTTCTTTTTTTTTTAAAAAAAACCAACAACATCAACCTTCCTCATCTAAGGCAGAAATAAAAGTGCTATTAGAGGGGCTCAGATCATCAGCCTGAGGGGTGACTCACCCACAGCAATGATGAAGCTCCAGACATGAAGTCAGAGTCCAGACTGTATCTTACGTGCCAAGCCAGACAGTGTAAACAGAAGGTTTGCAGGTGTAAACAGTGTGTAAGTTTACAGATGTATAATTTGCACACAGAATTTACTAATCTGTGGTGGATTTTAAGTATGATGACAGTGTTAGTTTTATAATTAGTATGATATAGATATGTTTTGGCTAAAATATTGGACTTTAAAAATATATCTGGATTTGTTTCCTATACATCTGTTTCATATTTTCTTTGTAATCCTGGGCAAGTGACCTCACATTTCTACTTCTAAAACTTTTACCTGTAAATGGAGTTAAATAATGTCTCCCTACTTCACAGTAAATATTCTAGCTCTTAGTTCATTAATGTTAGCAACTTAGCCAGCTATCACAATTAAAAACTTGACAGAAGTAATAGAGAAATAAAATATGTCTTTTTCATTGTAGTTTCTGATTTTCATCTTTGCTGCTAAAAGTACTTATTGCTTTTGTGTATACCAAAATGATACCTAGGATGGGACTAACATACTGCTTTAAGAAATAGCTCACAAAGGCCAAACTGCACTTTTAAAAAAAATAAGTGTTCTAAGAAATATCTTTTGCAACAGGATTTTATTGAAATTGGACCACATAATTTTGACTACTGCCATGCCTTTTCAGGAAAAAAAAAAAAAAAAAGAGCCCAATATAATTAACTGATGTAAAGCCAAACAAAAACAAAACTGCGGAACTACTGAAAACTTCAGAGTAGTAAACATGATTTCTTATTTTGCTTATGAGCTCATTCACTTGTTTGCTAGAGAACAGCACATTAAGAGTGCCAAAGACATAGGAGTTTTAGCATCAGAGCAAACACAAGCACCTCCAATAAATCTTTTTTTCTGTAGGATAAAAACACACCTTGTAATTGTATGTGAAATATGAGGCTGTCTCTTCACACGTTTTGAAAAGTTAAAAACTGTGTAACTAAGGGAGATGATATGGATCTCCCTGTGAAAGGTTTATAATGGTGCATGCATTTTATGCACTCTGTATTCAAGAAGCAGTGGTTGAGAGTTTTGCCTGAGCAAAGGCATCCGTTTCGGTCTGAAGAATAATAAACCACTGTTCCCAGCAGGTGTCTCAACATTGCTTCCACCAAAATATATAAGATCCCTGACAATTTTCAGGCATGAAGGGTGACGTTTTGGTAGAAAAAAGGGTCACAGTTCTGATTTTAGTAGGTTTAAATAAATTTGTTTTGCTTTGGACGGAAATTTTTTCAGTGACTGAATTCAAAGAATGTTTGTGGTTTAATGGCTGAAACCCAGGCTGCTTGCCCAAACATAGGAGAGAAGAGTGGCCCCATGGTATGGGCCCATGACTATCAGCCAGGAATTAAATGTTTCAGAGCTGGTTTGGCCAGGCATTACCCAGGTTTTGATTAGAAAGGTCTTGCAGGCCAGAGCAGTTTCCATTTCAGGAGATAGCTGACTGATTTTGAGGATCTAAACTCTAGACATAGCTCTCGGAAATGGTAATAAGGCACAAAAGCCTCTCTTTAAAACTAACCATTAACTTCAGGGTTCGTATCTACCCTGTAGCAGTGTTGTGGAAAGGAATGCATATTAATGCTTTGAATGGAATAACAAAAGTAAACTGCAAGATATCCAACTGGTATTAATAGGCTTGTGATTTGCTCTGGATGGGAGAAGGTCAAGTGGGATACTGGGCAAAACATGGCTGTGGGGATGCCAGGAGCCCCACTAGTGCTTGGAAGTGGTGGGAGCAGGCTGTGGTGCTTGTTGGGCATCAGGCAGAGGAACAAGGACTTACTACCTGCTGCAGTGAACATGTTAAATGAGTGCTGTGGAGAAAGAGTAGGTCACTTAAAAAAAGAAACAGTGAACACTTGGTACCCCACAATCAATTTGTCACAAAATGTCTAGGGGTTTATTATCTGCAAGACCTCTTCCATTATTAAATAACGTGGTTCAAACAGCAGTTCAAAACTGCTTAGGAAAGACTGATGAATTTGTGGTATAATTCTGTAATACAAAAAACAGGGGCTCAGAGGGGCTTTGTGTTATCATTCCCAGCACTGTGAGAAGCCAAATGCAGTGAGTGGCACAATTCCCATTCCCCAACAATAGGGCAGTTTCTCCCAGTATAACAAGTTGGTGTAAGTTACATTAATTATACACCTGGGTGACATGATCCATGAAGGGCAAATTTAGGTTTCTGTGCCACCTAGATCTAGTTCTGCACTAGTCTGCACTAACTTGCACCTTTGTTTCTGTTGTCTGCACTGGACTCACCTTTCATTAGGCAGATGATGGTGCTAGTCAGTAAAAACATTTAATTCATCCCTTCCTTCTCCTGTTTGCCTTAGAATTACACAGACTCAGCTGGAATTCATGGGAGGTGTGATACCCCAGAAAATCTTTTGTCAAAAGGATGCCAGTTGAATTTGATTGAATTTCCCATTTCAGAAGTAGAAATTCACAGAAACAAGCCCCTAACTATATCCACCCAGAAGAACAATTCTGATGTCACACAGGTTTCTCCTCAAAAATTAACTCTCAGGCTGCGACCAGGTAAGTCACAGTTCATAGATGTGGAGTATTTTTTTCAAACAACGTGATATGCTGAAGCTTCTCATGTTGAATGGTCTACAAAAATCTTGGCAGAATTAAGATGAAAACCTTTGTTGAGTCCAGAGTTATCTGTTGACTCATCGCTTGAAAACTAGGTTTGGCTGAGTTCAAAATACTTTCAGAAGTGCTAGGTACATGCTAAAAGTAAGGATTCGTATTTTTAGTTCTTCTCTTCTCTTGCCACAGAGGTGGCAGGGATAGAATGAAACCCTCTGGCTCCTCCCAAGCCCACCTCCTGCACCTCTCCCCTGCTGGTCTGGCAAACAGCATATCTCAGAGGCAGCGTACAGTCTCGCTTTGAGGATGTACAAGGTACCAGTGACATTTGTGGTTACACACCAGACCTACTTTTCCTTCAGATGTGAATTTTTCCTGGAGAAAATCTGAAATAAAGAAGAGTAGGAGGCATCCAGTTAGGTCATATCATAGTGCTGGAATGAGAATAAAACTTATGTGTACACTCTGACCTTCTTTGAATTTCTAAAGTATAAGGTAGGACCCATAAGCTCTACCTTTAGTTTCAATTAGCTTCACATCTAAGTTTTCTAAAGGTGTATGCTGCTGAAGATGTTCTCATATTTTTTCCAATTATAGCAATCAGTTTTAATTCTGTGCTTATGGCTTTACTGCAGAACTGTTTAGAAAAAGCCCCAAACATTAGAACTGCTTTTAATTTACCAGACCCTCATTTGAGATTTTTCTTGACAGAGAATTTTTAAAGTTGTTTTGTTAATGCTGCTGGTTATTTAATATACCAGATAATTTTCACCATATAGAAGTTTATGAAGAAATTGACATTGTTCATACCTTCTGCCCAGAAGTGCTAATGTGTCTCCCACTTTATAGGACATGAAGAAACAATACAGATCAAGGTTCGTCAGACTGAAGATTATCCAATTGATCTCTATTACCTCATGGATCTTTCAGCCTCCATGGATGATGATCTGAATACAATCAAAGAACTGGGTTCAACTCTTTCTAAAGAAATGTCAAAACTGACAAGCAACTTCAGACTGGGGTTTGGATCTTTTGTTGAAAAACCAGTTTCACCATTTATCAAAACTACAGCTGCAGAAATAAACAACCCTTGCAGGTAGGCAGGGAAAGTCCCAGCAGATGTTTGCATGACAACATTAAGTCATAATATTAATCTTTTGGATAAAATTCAATTAAGCAGCTTCACTGGAACCTCTGCCCTCTTCCAGCTGTAAATGAGTCTTTAAATTCACACTGTGATCATTATTCTGTTGAGTATGATGTTATTTGGAGAGAGGAATCTGGGAGTGATTCTGCATTTTAGCTTTTGCTGCTAGTTACAAATGTGCTTAATGCCTTAACAAACAAATATGCAGAATAGTTATGTACTCTTCTTTAGTATTCCAGAAAAAAAATACATATACATAAGAATTTTATGACACCATACTAAAGAGTTTCAAACTCAAACCCAACACAGAATATCAGTTTCATTTAGCCATAAATGTTGTTTTCCTGGTTTTTCCACCCCTAAGGTCTAGCAGTCTGCCTTAACCCAGGTTGCCCTAGCCCTTGCCTAACCTATGTGGGAGAGAAGCTGTGCTCTGCAATCTGGAGCGGGACTGCAGCAGCTTGCTGGTGCTCTCTGAATGTCATTAAGGAACTACAGGTCCTAATGTGCTTCTGAATATGAAATCAAGACACAGCAGGGTGCATGGCAAGGGCTGCACTTTGGTAACTGGCTGAATTACTTTGCTCTAGGAGGCATTTCCCAGCCCTTATGCAGACCTTTTTCCATTGCCCAATTTACTGGATGCTCTTTAATTATTGTATGTTTTTCATTAGATCTTCTTAGGCACAGAAGAGAGATACATGAACAAAAACTAATCCAGGCAGGCCTCTGAAGTGTTCATCGTAGTGATTTTTCACTCTGTATTATCCATAAGCTGTCTCACTTTTCTTGCAGAAGTGTACCATACGAGTGCTTACCCACCTTTGGATATAAACATGTTTTGCCACTCACAAATGATGCTGAAAAATTCAATGAAATTGTGAAAGTACAGCGTATCTCTGCTAATATAGACACTCCAGAAGGAGGATTTGATGCAATTATGCAGGCAGCTGTTTGCAAGGTAATGAAATTTCTAGGCATAATATTAATTATTCCGTGTATTACTACTTCTAGTATTATATGGTGGTATTTCAAAGTGGCAGATTATTTTTTAAGAATTTTTAGTGCAATCCAAGAGCCTCATTAAATTTGTGTTAAAATAGTTTTGGCTGTACCAAGAAAAACATGCACACTGCAATATTTTAGTGTTTCCTTTTAATTGCCAGGGATAAATAACCCCAAATAACTGTATCACTATTATGTCTAATTTTTCTTTAAATATTTTTCATAACTATGTTAAGAGTAGTAAGCAGATTGACATGAACGTGGCCAGCCTGTTTTATTAAACACAGGGATGGGGAGACAAAATGTTAGCCAAAGGCAATGGAATGAACACAGTCTCTTAAGAGACATCATGTTGCCTTTGATGCTCCCTTGAAAATCATGTTCTTCATTTATTTTGAGGTGCCATCCTCCAAATATTTAGCTGCTTTTTTATATTGTCATGCAATACAGTCTGCTAAATTGTTGTGCTTTAAATACAGGAAAAAATTGGATGGAGGAATGATTCTCTACATTTGCTGGTGTTTGTGAGTGATGCTGATTCCCATTTTGGGATGGACAGTAAACTGGCAGGGATTGTTATTCCTAATGATGGGAACTGTCATTTGGACGACAATAATGAATATTCCATGTCAACTGTTCTGGTAATTAACTGAATTTTGTACAACTCTCACATTCTGGAAATTTAAAGACTAATAGGAGCAACCTAAAAAATTATTGACATACTTTTAACACTGAAATGTATAAAAGTTGTGGAATACAGATATTTCATGTAGTCTATTTAATTTATAAGTGAATATTTCAGTAAACAGAGAAGTGTGTTTGTATGGAATTAGGATAGATTATAACTAAGAAAAAAGAAATAACAAATCTGATTTTTTTCTAACCAGGAAAGCACACAGAATTGGACTGACTGCTATTTCCTCCTTGATTATGTTCCCTAAAAGGGTATGAACTCAGGAGGAGTTCAAGGATTTGCAGGACACTTTTCCTGTGGGATGATTTACCAGCTTAAGATTCATTGTTCAAAAATATCAAATATATATAGTATAGTGTTTGGTGTAGGACAAATATCCAGTTGTTCTGGTGCAGTGTTATTCTTTGGATTAAATATATAGATAACAGATGCTACTGAGCCATATCTCCCAGTATGGAAGCAGGCTCTATACTTTTTTTAGAGGGGTTTCCTTAAAAACAATGTGAGGAAATTCTATACACTATCTTTTATTTTGTATACATATATTCCTAATTATAGTTTGTACTACACAGAGAGTGTTAATTATGTTCACTTGAACAGTGTTAATTATGATCACTTGAACGTGTCTTTCACACAGGAGAGACAGTTAGTAACTAGAAACACATGAGAAACAGACTGATGTGCCTCTCTTCTGTTTGTTTGCAGGAGTATCCCACAATTGGACAATTAATTGACAAACTTGTGCAAAACAATGTTCTATTAATTTTTGCTGTAACGAATGAGCAAGTTCACACATATGAGGTGAGCTAATTAAAATGTTCAGTTTGCCAGTATTTGTTTTAAAGTTCACCCTTTTGCACAGCTGATACAGTAATTCTAGTACTAAGGATTGAATTCTGCAAGATATTTATGTATTAAAAATAACTAGGAAATCCTAGATTGGAGGAAAGCTCTTCTGCTTAAGAAGTGCTTCTTCATGTATTGATTTTGACATTCTTAAGTAACTTTTAAATTGGATTTCAAGTTGAATCACACTAATCTTTTAAGTCAAGGATTGTCAAACTAAGCATTGCTAAACTTCAGTGTAATCATTGGGATTAGTCTTCTGTATTTTATGAGGCTAGAGGACAGCTGAGCCTTTTATAAGACAAGAACACAATCTGAAACATGCAATTGTTTTCATGCTCATCTCTGAGATCTTGCTTTGTTTGGGTTTTTTTGGTTTTTGGTTTCTTGGTTTTTTGTTTTGGGTTTTTTTGTGTGTTTTGGTTGGTTGGTTGGTTGGTTGGTTGGGGTTTTTTCCATTTTTGTTTTATTTCTGTGATGCTTTCCAGTGGGAGTAGTAGGAAACTAGCATCAAGATGAAAAGTGAAAATGATGATGGACAAAGTCCTCTTTCCTCATGCATTGGTCCTCATGAGTACTGAAGGAAAACAATTACAGGAATTTTGGGCATTAGGACTAGCAGAATCCTCTTCAGTGAAGTAAATTTCCTACTCTGTAAAGTCTCATGTCATGGAAAATGGGAGCCAGGAGAGAGGAGAGAGCAGAGGAGCAGTGGTTACAGATACATAAAATCCATACCATATTTTTAATAAGTCAAATATCATTCATACCTGCAACTCCATCAGTCATCTGTGCAGGCATCTGTTTTCAGTTTCCACAGTTACAAGCCCTCCTGCAGCCCTGTGCTACTTTTGACCCACTGGATGTTCCAGCTGTGAGCTGAGGCAAAGCTGCCAACAGCTGCTTCACTGTTCTTACAGTGAATGTGAGCCAAAGCCCTCTAAGATAAAATAAGAGGGATATTGGCAATTCTTATTTCTTTTTCTGTCCAGTCCTGCTCCAGGAAAGAAATTTTCACATTCTAAAAGAAATTCTAGATATGAGTTCAGTGTGGATAAAAAGGGTTTTTGCAGCCTAAACTTGGCTGCCTGGCCACATACTGCTGCTGTGTGAAAGGGGACAAGCAGAGAGAAACTGTTCCTCCAAATTTATTCAGGTTGGTTGAGAGGGAGTCAATAAGGGTGATCCTGCTGATACAATAAGCTTGGCTTTCCAAAGGAAAAACCTTTACAAACCATTCCTCATTAAAAACAAAAGTACAGTAATGAGGAGAGAGGTGCTCCTCTGGTGTGATTACCATATGGAAAAAAGGAAAGAAAGTGTAGAGGAAAAGAGAGAGCAGATGCATCCTTGAGGCACTCACCAGTATGATGGTTTTCAATTTCTGTCCTCTCTGTAACCCAGGGAAGGCTCCCCCAGTACTTCTGCAACTGATTCCAGTGGTAGAGTTGTTTGGAGTAAAACTAATGCTCCAGCTGTTTTACAAAATTGACAAAAGTCACATCTTTCATAAACTGATTCTCAGGTTACAGCCTTGACAAGGGAGAAAACACTGCACCTTGAAGCACTGACAGCTTGGCCTGTTTAAAGACTGTATTAAATACTGAGCCGGATCATGAAAATTTAGGTCAGTAACAGTAGAAGTCAATCTACAAATGCAGTGGGATTCTATAGTCCTTGCATAGTTTAAATAATATTTTTACATTAAAAAAACATTTACTAGATTTTATTATTGCTCAACAATTTATTAATAGGGACCCAGTCAATGACAGGTGAAATATTTTTCCTGATTTTAATAGGGGCTGCATAAATAAGGGCAGTTCTAGGAAAGTAGTTTGTAAATATCTCTTTGATTTAAAGAGACTTATTCTGTCCAAAGAAATTTTTCTTTTACTGATGAAATTGTATTTTGCCTTGGAAATTGCTGGTGGTCACCTTCAGAGATGGCACCCAGCATTCTTATCAGGGTGTTTCTGTACCAGTATCCCTGTGTCTTATATCAGTATCAAAGTTACCGAGGGGCACCCTTTGTTCACTGGTAACACTAAACAAAGGCTTATAGCTACAAAAAATGCAAGTCCTGGTTAACCCAACGAGGGAATGGTTTATTCTCATTAAGTTCTTTGTCAGAAAAAAGAAAGTACAACTATCGTCTATCTTGTAAGGTATAGAGTGATCCCAGTGAATATATTCTATCTGCTGCTTTCATCTTTAGTACTGCTTTCTTTCACTTCTTTGGATAGCTATAGCCGTTATGGTCTGCTTTTTGTCCTATAGGTGATGTGGAAAAGCAGTCAAAGGAAATACAAAAATCAAATATAAATGTCACAGTGCAGTTTTTCCACAGTGAAATATACTTTCAAGGGTGTATGTAGGATGTGCAAACAGGGCAATAGTGCCATGTTTTCATCTGTGTGATGCAAATTTTGTAATATAAATGTAAATAACCAGTATCCACACTTAAGAATGTAAAAAGAACAAGACGAGTTATTCTTGTGGTAAGGCTCGGGTAGCCTGGAAGATGTAGCAGAGGACCATAAACCACCATTAAACCACGCTTGTCTTGGTGTTTCACTTTTTAAAAGCTTCAGCAGCAGAGATTCTGCAGCCTCCCTCTGAAAACCTTTCCAATTATTCTTGGAGGTTGGAAAACCTCTCCCCAAATATCTCATCACAAATCTACTTGAACTCAGCATCTAATTATATCAGATGCCAACACTGACCATTGCTATTTATGATTCAGTTCTTAGGGACAAACATACACTAAAATGAGGACTTAGAAAGCACCTCTTTAAATACTCTAAATAGATTCCATTAGTCTTAAGTGCAGTGTTCAGACTGTCAAATATATGTTTATATTTCTAGCCCTGTATAATCCCCAACAATTTAGCCCAAAATAATTCAGTCATGTAATATTGTTGATCCTCTTCAACTGAATTTTCAGTTTACCCACTTACATGTATGTGTATAATTATCTAACACACAATTATTATGGGTGGCACAAGCACAGAATACATATGCTTGTAGCAGATCTGGTGTTAGTTTTGATCTTTCCACGCATCCCAACAGTCTCTGTACAGCAACTGCAAGAGATCATTTAGGTCTGATGCTCTCCCCAAGCACAGGAACTTCTGTGCTCAAAAAGCAGTCATGTGGAAACATTTTTACAGCCACTCAAAATTAAATTCAAGAGAGGAGAGAAAATTCCTTATGCTGAGCCCAGATAATTTGAGATGATTTATTAAAAGGAAATTTTTTTTTAATTATCTTTTAAAATATATTCACGTATGTCTAACTTTTAGCATCATTAGTCTCAGATGAGTCTTACCAAAGCAGGAGAGGATGTTTTTATCCTATAGAAGCCATTCACTCAAAAAGCATCTGTGATTATTGCAACAATAATTATATTTTGACAAATTCTATTTTAGCATAAAAGAAAACACCAGTCTTTAAGCTTTCATGAAGTAGTTGCTATTATTGTTGATATAATTTGTCTTCAAGCAGAATTCTTTAAAAATTTATTCAAACCTAGATAAGGGAAAGACTCTCTCTCTAATCCTGACTAAAGATCACTTCTTTCAAAACAGAAATTACTCTTTTTTTGGAGTAATTATTTCTATTTATATCACAGAAGAATGTGGCTTGAAAATTGGAATTTCAGACTCCATTTCCTTGCTGAAAATTTAACTAAAAATACTCTAGTCTCCACACTTTAACGGAATTTTAAATTATTTTCATAGTTTTAGCATGACACTCTATTTATGATGAAAATTCTTCTTTCATTTACCAAGCTAAAAGTTAGACACGACCCCAGTGAGTCAAATATATAATTGTCCAAATTTCTTAACATAAATTAGAGTATCTCTATAAAATGCACTTCACCTCTTAATGAATATATGCCAAAAGAGTAAATTCCATTACATCCTTTTGATGTTTTACAATAGTAGCACCCCAAAAGCATCAGCCTGCCTCACCTTGTTCATGGTTAAATGGAAATATTTGCTAAAAGGTAGGGCTTAACCAATGGACATGAGATACGTGCTTAGCCTGGGCGTGAAACGTCATCCTGGTATCACCATGCAGAAAATTTTTTTTCAAAGAGGAAAGATCAAAGAAAGTCTTCAGAGCAGTATATCCCTGCTGTTTGTTTTGCATACCACAGATTAAAGAGGGCTATATTTTAAATTCCAGGTTTATCATCTTTTCTCACAAAAGGTCCATGTGTACAAAATGCAGTTTCAATATTCCAGGAATCCTTGAGAGAGCACTAATCACAGGAGGAGTCAGGAATGAGAAGTCACCAGCTGTAACTTAAAATGTAGTTAATCCCACTGATTAACAGTAGCACTTTAGAAATCCAATGAATGATAACCATTCCCCACATAATATATAAAGTAATCACAGGGCTCTTGGAGATATGAAGTATAAGAAGGATATAAGAGTATCAAATTATCCATGTTTATTAATAGTTCTCTGGATTTTTTTTTATTTAGAATAACAGCATTGATATGATATCATGCAAAAGAAAATTGGCACAATGCAATTTCATGCAAAATGAAAAGAAAGCTTATCATCAAAATAAATTGCTAAGTAGGTACTACAATATTAATATAAATTTAACATAAAATCCATTGTAGCCACAGACAACTAAGATACCTGTGCAAGGACAAACAAAGTGACTGTTGTTGCTGAGTGTAGAGTCCAAGACTCTTGAACTGTGCAGCAACAGTTGAGCAGTTGAGTCTGCTTCTGTATATTTTTATTAGAGAAAAACAAAACAGTTGATAGAATATATCCTCCTTCTAAATTTGAAAAATTAGAGCTCAAAGAATACTATAGAATCAGACTTATAGAGGTGATTCATAATACATGTCCAATGAATTTTCAGTTAAACTAGCTCTTCTCCATAAGGCTTTTTCATTAGGATATGTGTAATGGAGCTGCAAGGATCCTTGAAAATATCACTGGCTTCAATGTATTTGGTTTTGTTGTGGGGGGTAGTGTGGAGGGGTTTGGGGTTTGGGGGTTTTGGTTTGATTTGGGTTTTTTAGATGTTAACTCCTTGACACCTAGGGGTTTTTTGTGCTTTAAATTAATTTTTTTTTTTCCAGAACTATGCAAAACTTATTCCTGGAGCTACCGTTGGACGACTACAGAAGGATTCTGGAAATATTCTCCAGTTGATCATTGCTGCATATCAGGTAAGATGGTTATAGTGCAGTCTTTTCCTTCATGTTTCTGTGATCAAAATTGCCTTGCAATTTGGTAAAAACAAGTGTCTTTGATTCTTTTCATGCTCTGCTTACATAATTTTTTAATGCTAGGTGATGACCTTCACAGGAAAGGTTGTGATCACTCTGAGGATTGAGGGAGCACAGAAACAAAATTCCTATAACCATCTGTCATGCCTTGGTTCTACTGGGATGCTGAATTTAAATCAGTGTCTCATTTGTCTTGCCTTCATCATAATCCTTTATTTCACACCTACTTTTAAGCCTTCTTTAATATTCAGGTCTCCCAATTCTGCACCTGGACAGGCACTCAACTCCCTCCCCATTGGTAGCTACCCAGAGCAGACATAGAATTGCCTTGAGGGAATATCTGGGGAAAAAGCGCTATCCCATGCTCAGTGCTCTTCTCTGCTTTAGCAAATTGGTGCTGCCCCTGTGAGGCTGTTCTGAGGTTTTTAAAAAGGGGAACACAGAAGCCAATATGGATTTGTTTAGATAATATCAAGACCTGAATGGGTTTGTTTAGGTAATACAAAGAAATACTGTAACGATGTCAGGAACATAAACACAGCACTGCTCTTCAGAGCTTTGTTTGTAAAATGCATTCTGGGTGCCTGTTTCTCTTCTGTCAGGGGAATGTTCTTAGACAGCTGTACAGGTCTTTACTCAGATATATTAATTTATATATATGCTGATATACAACAGATTTCTCTCTTCTGTCTCAGCCCATTTTTTTAAAAAACCTGCTCTACCAGTTGTCTGCAATGACAAACAACTCTTCACAAATAGCTTCTGCTTCTTTCCTTGCTTTTTTTTTTCTGCTCTTTATTCTATCACCTGAATGAGATAATCATCACTATGCCAAAATTATTTTGGACTTGGTCATAGGAAAAAAACAGATTCTTATGACTCTTATAACTCTTATGAAAGTAATGCAATTGATGAGATACGATTTTTTTAATAAAATACAAAGTACCAGAAGGTTCTCCATTCTATGGAAAATTATATAAGGAAAGAGCTACAGGACTAGTCGCAGGAGTTTACAAATTGTAATAAATACAAGTGAGGGAATTTTTACATGAGGAAAGCCATTGCTGAACTTTGAGTGGCAACAGGATTTCACTTATGGATTCCAACCTGCTGTTAAGTCACATCTGGTTCCCGTCAGGATTTCTCCAAGATGGCACTCTAACATATGGGCAGAGGTTCCTACATTTAACAGCCCAAATACCATTTTGTTGTCCAGTAAGTAATGCAAAAACACACAAAAAAATGTCCCAGGTGCTGGTGCTGTAATATGAAGTGCAGAAAGGTGCTTCACTGGAACATTGCATCCTTGCCTATTCCTCTTCACATCTGCTTATGTTCCTATTGTCCATGACTTTTTTTTTCCTACTCTCATTTTTGAACCTGCTGATTTTTCAGCTTCTGTTGCCTTCTATGGCACAAAAGGCTTCAGTCACACTGTGTCAAGATACATTTTTCTTATTCCTATCTTAACCTACTCCCTACTCCATTTCACGGAGTCCACTTTAGTTCTGGTGTTGCAGTTTGGTGAATAACAGCTCTGCATTCACCTTGTCTTTATGATTTCATAATATTTTATCACTAAAGCATCTGCCACCCACTGTCCAGTCTTCTCAAGCGTCCAGTCTCAAACTGGACAATCCCAGCCTTAAGTCTCTCCCAAGGAGAGACTTAATCTCTCCTTGGCTGCTCCATGCCCTTGGTGACTTTATCTTACAGTGTCTTTATGCTCCCTGACTCTATAAAGTGCTTTCCGACGTGTGGAGACCACAAGAGCTTTCACTACACAATAGAGGGCACACTGATGCTTATATAAAGACAAAATTATGCCCTCTATCTTGTTCTCAGTTCTTTTTCGCTGCTGCGTGCTTTGGGATGACCAGCTCCCAGAGCTGTCAGTGGTGACCACGATGCAGCTCCTGAGCTGTTTCAGCTGATTCTGTTTTCACCCATCCAGTAGACATGGTTTGGAGGGAGCTCTGAGCTCTGTGATTGCTCCACTCTAGGAGTAGCAGGGAGGTGATGGCAGAAAGGGTGCTTCTGCCTTTGGGCCATAACTCGTCGTATCGTCATCCAGGTACAGCATGTCCAGACAGTGCACCAGGGCAGCACATAGGTTCTTAAAATCCCACATACGTTTCAAGATGTAAAATGTGTACAGGTAGCAACATGTCACTCTCAAAATTTCCCTAAGTCCATCTCATTACACATAACCTTAAAGATTAAAAATCTTATTGCTTCAAGTCTGAAAATCTTCCAAGCAGGAAACACAAAAACCACCTTATTTGATGTAAGTGATGATACCTGATTTTGGGTTTTTTACTGTGAATGGGGAAATGAAGGTATACATACAGTTAAAAATCACATGCAAACCTGAAGATCTAATGGCACTTTTGTCAGACACTTTTCATGATACTCTCAGCAATGTAATTCAACGTCCTGTGTCTCTGTTTCTTTACTCACAAAAAAGGAATAAATAACTCTTTGTCCCCCAGGGTAGACTTAGATTAAATCTTTTAACACTTTTAAAGTGTTTTTGAGTATTTGCTTGCTGTGCAAACACAAGGTTTGATAACGCCATTCACCATGTGTTGCCATCTAGAAGCTTCAGAGAGGAAGTAAGAAAGTTAAGAAAGTCTGAGCTGTCAAAATATTTGTTACAAGGAGTTCTCATGTTCTTTCCAAGTATGATTCATTTTCTTCTGTAAGCATATTTCTGTCTGTTTTGTTTAGCATTGAATTCCACATAACTTTGTATTGCAAAGCTATAGGCTAAAATGAATTGTGACAGATAGCAGGCCGTTTGATTGAAGCCATTCCAAGATTTTAAAATTTCAGAATAATTCCGCTTGATGTTTTTTTTTTCCCCAGTGTCTGATCCTTTCACTTGTAAGAAAATGACACCAAAGAAATAATATATTAGAAAAGACAGGTAACACAAGGGCACAAGTATGTAACACTGCATCATGTGTTCTTTCATTCAGAAAATTATTTGAACCATAAATGTTTCTCTGTGAATGGCTTGAAGCTCACTAAACTACTAAACTGTCTGCTATCTGTCCTCAAACTACAGTCAGGCAGCTCAGTAAATTTAAAACATCATTAGAAGTGCTCACAGATATAAAGATACAAAAAATTCAGATTTGTTTGTTTGAGCCTTGTAGTTTTGCAGATGGTGGAGGAGGGACTATTGGTGATATTTCCTGTAACATTAGCACATACCAACACTTACAGTTTTATCTAGATGTTTACTATGTTTGGTCCTTTCATGAGAGACCACCTATTGCAAACAAATTATTATCTATGATCCTCTGTGTTGTTTCAATAGCGACTTAAGCACCTATCTCTAAAAAAAATGTAAAGGGAAATTTGGACATATCTAAACCGACCAACATTACCAACCTGATGCCCAGGGCACAGTTTTACAACCCTAAGACAAATTTCCGGGGAATCCAGGACATGTACAAAGCACAGGGAATTGTTGTCTATGCAGGTTTCTGCCTATTCTACTTTTACTTTGATTTACCCCACCAGACCTTTACTCCACTGAGTCATCCTGATACCTTTAGTAGAATGACTCACTGAAGTAAGGTCAGCAAGCTCCTCATGCTCTGATTGAAGGGCAGGGGTATTTTGTAAGTAATTAGGCTCGCATGAGCACAAAGTCAAGTCAGTGAGATGTTTACTCAGCAGTACTTTTGAAAAATTTCCATTTACTGGGTCCACAGGCCAGTGAAATCATAGGGAATTTCCCAATGGTCTGTCAAAGGGTTTGGATTAAGGTTGTGTAAGCAAAGTTGCTGTAAAATATTTTAAAGACTTAAAATATAAAACCCTACTACGAGCAAGTTCAGGAAGAAAGTTTGTGAATTACGAAATAAAAGTTTGACTTAACAAATTGATTTAAGAAATGGGAATGTTGTTGAACACAGCTTGAAATAGCACATACAGCTCATGAAGCAGGAATTTCCATCGGGAGAAGAAAGGAAGGGAGGGAACAATATTGACACAGGCTGGCTAATCAGGAAAAGCCCAGAGCTAGCAATGCAATCGGGGACACAAATCCTCACCTCAGTAAGATCAGACCTAAAGGAAAACCTGTATCAGTCAGCAGAGTCATGAAAGATGATTTAATAAAACATTGAATTTGTTCTCCTGCAAGGGCAGGAAATAAGTCCTGTGATAGCGGATATTAAACTGATACCACCATTGCTTTCCACTGAAAGCCAGGTCTATTGGCATTTGCTTTGTTTTGCTTGTTCCCCATTTTTCTTGCAATAGAGAGGTCTGTCAACAAAGTGGCAAAGCACAGGTTTACTTCTGTGTAAACTGGGATAAGTTACAGTCCACATTACTCAGATGCAGAACATTGGCAGAGCTTGGCAGTGTTATCATTCCATTTATCTCACTTTTTTTCCTTGAAGGAGCTGAGGTCTGAGGTGGAGTTGGAGATCCTTGGAGAGACAGAAGGGCTTAGTCTCTCCTTCACGGCCATCTGTAACAATGGGACCATTTTTCCACATCAGAAGAAATGCTCTCATGTGAAAGTGGGAGACACAGTAAGTAAAGAACAAATTCTCAAAAGACAGCAAGCCAGGGAATTTAGGACACCAAGGTAGAGAGATTTGGTTAAATAATCTTCCTCCAAGACAGTTACCAAAAAGCAGGCAGTATCTGTTGCTCTATCTTGAGTGCCCTGCAGAACTCCCTGTGCTCCAGCTCCTAATGGCCCCCATTCTCTCTTCCAGGTCTCTTTCAATGTGACTGTAAGTCTCCCGTCTTGTGAAAAAAACAGAAGACATCTCATGATAAAGCCTGTGGGGCTCAGTGACGTGCTGGAAATGGAAATACATCCCCTATGCAGCTGTAACTGTCAGGCAAAGGCCGAGATGAACAGCCCAAAATGCAACCAAGGGAAAGGATCGTTCGAGTGCGGGGTGTGCGTCTGCAGCCCGGGGTATGTGGGGCCGCACTGCGAGTGCGATGAGAGCTCCCTGGGCACCAGTTCCTGCAAGGGCTCAGCTGGTCAGAGCTCCTGCAGCGGGAGAGGCGACTGCTACTGCGGACAGTGCGTGTGCCACCCGTCCCCATATGGAAAGGTGTACGGGCCTCACTGCGAGTGCGACAACTTCTCGTGCGGGAGGCACAGAGGGCTTCAGTGTGGAGGTATGGTCCCTTGGGGCTGTTTTTAGTGTCTGCATATAGAGCTTTATTGACTCACCCTTATCTGCGAGATTGTGAATTTGTATTTTCATCATATATTCAGTTGCAACCAATTCTGTATAAAGTGTAATATTTCTGAATGGTCTTTAGACTTAAAACAGTTTTTTCCTGGGCTATACCATTATAAATCAGAAATATTTACCTATTAGATTGTGCACTGTCGGGAGACAAGATTTGTGTGGAGGACTCTAGTAAAGAGAATGGAGCTGCACTGGCTTGCAGACAGTCTAAACAAAAATTTGATCCTCTGGCTTAGAACTGAAAATGCTGGGAGAGAAAGAAAGATGTTTGGAAGAAAGGTTAGAGAGGGGAAAATATTTTCTATTAAGGAGAATGATTTTAAAGGTCATCATTCAGATTCTTATTAAGAGACTGATCTGAAGTACAATAAATGTTTCTCCAGGTAATGGTGATTGTGACTGTGGGGAATGCAAGTGCCACAGCGGATGGACTGGGGAATACTGTAATTGCACAACTGACGCCAGCGCCTGCATTGCTGAGGATGGAACACTGTGCAGTGGCAGAGGAGAATGCATCTGCGGGACATGTGCTTGCACCCATCCAGGGGCCTCAGGCCAAACATGTGAAAAATGCCCTCTCTGCGGTGACCCTTGCAGTTCCAGATGGTAATGTGCTGGTTTTACATCTCTGATGTTTGTATCATCCATGTATCTATTTCCTATACTGCCTCATGAGTATGTTTACTGCTGTGTCTGTAAATTGTATTTACAGACCAGAACCCAGGAGCTTCTTTGCCCTTTGAGAAGGGTAGTCATAATTCATATTTCAACCATTCCTGAGCACTACTGTAATACAAAAGGACTTTATGGAAAACAATTAAATCACCTTCAAGCAGCACAGGTAAAACTTCACAGTTCCACTGCTGTCCCTGGCTGTACAACTAATCAGAACGGTGACCTTATACGACATCAGATAAAACCAGACAAACCTCCTTTCAATCCATAGTACAGAATAAAAATGTCCCAGCATAGCTGCTACAGCAAAAATGAGAACTTGCTGAAAAAAGTTGGCATTTGTATTACCATTCTCATTCATATGAATGAATAAGGTAGTGTTGTCCACTCAAGCTTTACACATCTGCAAATTCATAGTCCAAATTCAGTTAAGCTTGGCTGAATTAAAAAGGCACAAGTATGATAAACTAGGTAATAGTCTGGGGACGAATCAGTGAGTAGCTGTATGTCATGTGTAAGTTGATGATAAATTGATTGTAAATGGTGAAATGTCTTCTCTCCACTAAGCATACAAAATTTATGTAACTTTCCTGCTGTGATGAGAGGTGAATGCTATGGTGCATAATATGAAAATCAACCAAAACTACTCGGGTTGTGAAGCTGACCACTCTAAGTACACCATTGCTCATGCTTGTATTAAATGAGCTCTTGCAGGGCTACAGTCCAAACTGGGCCGTCTTCAGTAGAAATTTAAGCTAAAAGTTGAATCAGGCTTCACAGAACACGTTATTAATGACCCTGGCTTTGCTTTCTGAGTGCCGAGCAGTTTCAGTTGCCTGTTTCATGATGATGTTCTGTCTCCTTATTTAGAGTTGAGGCCCATTTCTCTTCCATACCAGCTCTCCACCATTGCATTTTCATACCTGTCATTGCAGTCTACACTGTCTCTAAGTGAAAAGCTATTCCGTGGCATGTGATTAAATCATCGATCTGTTTCTGTTAGTGCTAAATTTGACCCACAAAAGTAAGCTTCTCAGTATGTTCAAAGTAAAGAGCACTTCTGCATGCAACTGCTCTAAACATGAAGGACAGGGCTGCTGCTTTGCCCTGCCCAATTTGGCAGAGAGTAAGAAATATAAAGTTACATGATAGGCATTACATTATCCTGCTTAAACATGTATATTGTATGCAATGTTAGGTCTTTTCTCTCTACTTCAGTGTGCTCCCATGCTGAAACGCAGGGAACAAAGAGCCAGGAGAGAGAGAACATTGGGAATACCTGGGTAGGGTAACCAAGGAGCTGAAAAACCAGGTCAGAGAGGCTGGAGATCAATGGCTAGGCAGCTGAGAAAGAGAGTGTGTTTTAAAAGAAACATGGCAAATACGACAAAACCAGCAACACTGAGTTTGTCTCCATGAGATAGAGGCTATCCCATTACCTGCTCTCTCTGCTATTCACCATCTATAGAGCAAGCGATAAGGTCATCTGCATGCCCTGAAGATAAACTCAGCACCCTCAGCATATTCCCATGGATATATGTAACTCAATGCAACAGACAGCCACTGTTTTTTGGGGATGTTTTGCTGCAATGTTTCCCTTCCCCTTCCTCCTTCCCTTCCCCTTCCTCCTTCCCTTCCCCTTCCTCCTTCCCTTCCCTTCCTCCTTCCTTTCCCCTTCCCCTTCCTCCTCCCCTCTCTTCCCCTTCCCCTTCCTCCTCCCCTCCCCTTCCCTTCTTTTATTCAGTCCTTCAGATGGCTTCTCAGAGTCTCAGCCCCTGAAACTATTTGTGAGGAATCAGTAAATGCATTTTTCATCAGAAATTTTCATGCATTAATTCTGTTTGTTGTTTTATTTTCCACTAATAAACTCTGGATTTATTAAAATCTCATTGAATTTATGTGAAGATTTTCAGAGATTTCTAAAGGAATTGGTTTAGACTCTGTGTTTTAAAATAGTATTTCAATCATTCTACCATTAAATAAAAAAATAATTTTCCAGTAAATTTCATTAGTATTATTAGGATCTAAGTAATTCCTAACACAAGTAATCACATTCAAGAGACAACTATTGAGACACCTGAAAAGTGTTTTAATACATTATTCAACAGACTTTCAACAAAGGTAGACTTATACCAGGTGCCCCAACTTGATCTCTTTGAAGTCAATTTCAGATATCGCTCATCTGATAGGAATTTCTTCACCTGGTATTTTGTGTAAGAGTATTTAATGCTCAGGACATTTATTTTTGAAATTTTTAAAAATGAGTATTGTGTGTGACTAACCACATGTCTTTGATAGACCTCCATGAATAATGTTGCCTGGGGTTCTGTCTGGTAGCTAATAAACTGGGAGAGAATAGAGGACAAGACAGAGCTTATCCACAATACCTTTATTCAGGTGGGGGTTTTTTTGCTTGGTTTTGTTGGGATTTTTTTTGGTGGCAGTACCTATCATATTCCTGAGAACTGCTGTATCCATAGCAGGAGACCTTTTATTTAGCTTCCTTTTAAAATGCAGATGCACACATACTGGCTTTTGTCTTGTTGCTTTGTGACAGGCAGAGATTGATGAGCTGCTGAATTATTTTCCACAGGAGCTGTGTGGAATGTCACTTGGCTTCCGATGACAAGTCACTGGGAGATTGCAGTGAAAAATGCAAATTGGTTGATGCAACTGTCAGCATCGAAAAGGGTTAGTATACTCAGTCCTCCTTTCTTGTGTGTGTGTGTGATTAGTGGTAGGTTCCACTTTCAGTAATTTTATATTTGAAAGTAGCCTTGTTTTTCTGCTGTGGAATTATTTTATGGCTCATAAGGCAATTACTGTCTGTCTACAGTTCTGAGCCAAGTAGGAAATGCAGAACAGGGCTGATGTTACCCTTCCAGGTTAATTAACATATTGGGTCATGCCTATTTTCTAAGAACTTTATGCAGAAAAGTATAGAATTTAATAAATACCAGTCCCTGCAAATCAATGACTGATGAAAGTCCCCGAGTTTAAGTTACTCCTGTACCATGAGTTCCAATGGGGCTTCTTCTACCATACAAATAAAACCTGACTCCAGTCCTTAGGCAAACCCTTGATTACAGCTGGTGACGAGACACAGCCCTTTAACCTGTGGCAAAGACATTTCTCGTATTCTAAAAGGCTAAGTACATCTTCCAGTTATTCACTTTAATTCAAAGCTGCCCTCCATCATCAGAAGTTTCTGGAACAGTAATTAATCTTAAGTGAGATAATATATCAGAAAAAGAAACCCAAAAAGCACCAAGATCAAAAAGAACAGTAAGAAACCTTTAAATGAAAGACTGCATATTTTAGTTTCCTGTAGGGGAAGACGCTTACCTGTTCAACTGGTAGTCTGTATTTATTCTAATGGCAATTCTAGTCCCAACCCTGTGGCATATGCAATTGTTAAGTGAGGCAGGGCATAGGTGTATTATATCCACATCACATATGTACCATAAGCATTAAATAAGACAAATTTAAGAATAAGGATGATAATGCAGAATCCTGTCTGCATGTCTAAGGTTTGTGTCTGAAAGCTGTTGGAAGGCTATCCAGAGCTGTGCATGCAGAAATGTCATCACTGATGTACATATTTCCAGGAAAGCTACACATTTTTGTTTTTGATGACAATACTCCATAATACAGAGCTCAAATATCACAAATATTGCCCTTGTAAGGACAATTAATTCCAATTTTGTATTTTTATCAAAATTATTATCATGCTTTGCCTTTGTAAACATCAGTATTTGTTTATAAATATAAAAATACCTTTACGGGCTTAAAAAACATATAAACACTTTTATCGTATCTCTGTAAGGTTTGCAGGTTGCTGTTGTTAGATGGCAGATATTGGTAGCTAGGAATATATAAAACATTCTATTTTCAAATATAATGAATACTGATCAAGAGCAGAAACAGCCATTTATATGTCTCTGTTCACAAACACAGAGGTCACTGTTATATGAGCATGTCAATAAAATCTCCTATTCCTGCTTATTTCTTTTTTCATGTCCTATGCTTCCCTGATTGGGACTGTCAGCTACTTCTTTAGGTTTAAAATTTATTTGCAGCAGTTACAGCAAGTACTGTAGTGAGGACTGGATAACTGTTCCCATCTGGACCTCTAAAAAAAAGAAAAAAAAAAGATGAAGCTGTTGCAAACTGTGTTTCATCTTAAAAGCTTGTGTAATACCTCCAAAGATTTGTTTTGGCATGGAGGTAGCCTCATTAAGAAGTCCTGATAGGAAAAAAATAACCTTCAAAATAAGAATTAAAAAATAATCATAGAATAAACACTAAAACAAACCCCAACAATTTGAAAATGCAATAACTAGCACACCACATAATATTTAAAACAGAGGATTGAACAACTTCATATGGTAGTCTACTTCTTTCTTGTTTATGTTTCAGTTTCTTTAATGCTTCAAGGCTTTTGGGGGGAAAAAAAAAAGCAATAGCTTTAGTTTAAATAAAACAGTAGCACTTAAAAAATTTCATTTCTCTCTTGCATGTGTATGTTGCAGAAAAAAGGGTAGGCTTTACATTTTCCTGTTTCCTGTGAACGCCCATTTTAGGCTCTGAGTCGTGACTTTCACCTCCTCTGCTTTAGTTCTGAGGTTACCAGGGGTTTCTCTTCCTGCTCCCCACAACACAATGGGTCAGCCATTCCCCTTAAGGCTCCATCAGGGAATGGGATGCCCAGCAGCTTTGGAGGTGCTGATGGCTTCACATTTACTGGGCTTATCTTCACAGAAGGCATCACTTTCAAACATTTATTTTCATTCACTTTTAGTACTTGAACATTTAAGTTAGGCTAATCTTTCCTTTGCCAGATGGGTGGAAGAGGAGCCCTCGCTACTCAGGAGGAACCACTATTCCTAAAAGGTGGTTCCTGCTACCACCCCAGCCACAGGGCACCAGGCTGTTCCTGCCAAAAGCCCAGCAAGGACAGTTACACTTTCTTTGGAGAAACTGAGTTTTTCCTCCTCCATAGTTCTGACACCTCACAAATTCCAGGTGCAGCAGCAAAGTGGATACTGGAACCTGAATAAACCCCTATATCAGCGCTGCTCTGTTGTGACTCAAAATGAGATGAACTCTGTTCAAAAAAAACATTTTGTTGAGCAAAAGGCAAACAAGAAAGGGCATAATGACATTTAAATTTGCAGTCAATTTTTTTTGTTGAATCTTTTATATTAGTTTCTGTAAGGAGTCTTTCATGCTTTGAGTCTCCATCTTGCCACTGTTACTCAATTCCTCCTCCAGTGTGACTCCAGTGATTTCAAATACAATTGAAATTAATAGAATTAGGCTGCAGGCAGAAGTGAGAAGAGTATGATGATTCACTGCAGAATGCAGAAAATTACACAGATGTAAATTACAGGAATTTACCTACCTAGGTAAATTTTTGTCCTGATGAACTGCAAATAATATATGCAATATACTCTCTTAGTGATCCTTCATCCTAAAAATAACATCAGAGAAACAAAAATATTAACTGTAAGCTGGGTTCTGAATAGCTTGAACAGGCATCTTTGCTTTCATTTCTACATCATTGCACATAATCATACTTCTGTTTCCCTTGGTTTCATATTATGACATTAAATTAAAAATTACTATTTAAAAATATCTAATACATGTGCAGTTACTGCCTTGTGGATGATATTTAGAATATGCCTGTGAGTTTTTCTCTGTCTTCAGAATAGCTAACAACTATTTTTTTGAATCTGCTTGCTTAAAGGAGTTGGGAAAGTACAAATATTGCACAACTTGTGACAGTGTTACTGGAACTGTGACCTGGCAATGAGAGCCATCAGTCTGCAGTTTGTGCCCCTTCTAACAAAACCAAATCTTGTTAAATCAGCAAGTCTTGGCTGCCTGTCACCTGGCTAGATAATACATTGCTCTGCCATCAAGGACGGGCAACAGGTTAAGTACAAGAGTATTGCAAATCAAGAGCATGTTTCCATTAAAATCCAACCAGATGTGATTCTCTTTTTAAAACAAGCAGAGAAAGGGACTAGGGTAGTCAATACTGTCATATTTTCTATGGTGTTTAATGGTGTTTTCTGTAAGACCAAACCTTATGATAATAAGCAATATGAAGAAGAAATGGAGCAGAACTTATTTCTTTATGTACCATAGGTTTCTTTATAATCCCTTATTGCACACAGTTATAAGATATTTTTGCTCTGTAAAATATTTTATTATGGTTGCACTCAAAATTATGGCAATTTTTGATTGTCTTATTTGCTTTATATTGTCCCTCAAAGCCAGCTTCCTGCTGTCTCCCTGTCCTCTTTTAATGATTTTTTCCCAGCAGAAAAGCTCGCCAGTTAGGAATATCTGGAAGGAAAAAAGTGGGTTAAGCTTTTGTGCTGATCAACAGTAAGTGGAGAGACAAATAAACAAGGGCAGACTGTCATCTCTGGTCACTTTATTTGCTTCCCCTGGAATCACATTACAAAAAATCCCAGAACTGCAGTTTTCTGTTATTAATCTCTATTTACTCCTGTGACAGTATTGGACACACATTGACCTTTGAGGGGGCTATTGTGGAATAAATGAATGGCAGCCTTTCTAACAGCATCCATTGCTGTTTGATGTATGTATATCTACTTCTGACACGTGATCTAGAGATGGCAGGAGTAGCTGTAAACCAAGGAACATACTTGGTTCTACTCTTTACTTTGTCCTATAATTTGGGACTACTACATTTCCTAGACAGATGGCAGTTAAGCATCTTGGAGGCACTTCCAATTCATTGAAATTCACGGCACACTAATAGGATACACTGGATGGTCAGTGCAGATTGACAACATCGGGATCAGTTCTTCAGAAATATAAGTGAAAAATCATAAACTAAACAAAATTGGGATTGGTAGAAAATCCATTAAATTTAGTGGAAATTCTGAGAGTACTACTGCTTTTATCTCTCACTCTTTACCATGCACAGATGAGGCTATGACAAACATGATGCCAGTAGTCTTCCTAGTTATTAAATGTTAAATTTAATTTGATCTGATGAATGACTTTTTTCCTTCCCTCTGCAGATTATTCAGAGGATAAATCCATTTCCTGCTCTTTGCAGGGGGAAAATGAATGTATAACCACATTTCTACTGGCTGTGGATGAACTGGGAAGGACAGTCATTCATAGCATAGAACAGAAAGGTAAGCAGTGAATATTGCTTTTTCTATGTGAAATCTGATTTAAAACCATAGACTGGGTGAGCAATTTAGAAGCTGAGCTCTTTTAAGCAGCACAGCACCTCCTTGTGTTTGTAGCTCTTCTCTGCCCAGCCAAAAGAGCACCTCCTCAAGCACTTATTTAATGCAGTGGTAAAATAAATACTTGACCTTTCATGAAAGATGGGCAGAGCAATCCTTGCTGCAAGAATAAGTAAATTTTTTTAAAGAATTGTGCAATTCTAAGATGATGATACCAATGTCATTTGCATTATATGATAAGAATATAATTCACTTTGAAATTTATACATATTTCATAGATGGACAAATATTCAAAAGACTATCTGATTGGGTTTACCTAATGAAACTCTAAAATATATTTGTAATTCTGTTGAATGATTCAGTATCATAGAATCATAGAACAGTTTGGGTTGGAAGGGACCTAAAAGATCACGTAGTTCCAAGCCCCCTGTCCCAAGGGGAGATACCACTCTCAGAGCTCTATCCAACCTGGCCTTGAACACTGCCAGGCCTGAGGTGTCCACAACTTCTCTGAGCAACCTGTGCCAGGGCCTCATCACCCACACAGTAAAGAATTTCTTCCTAATATCCAATCTAAATCTACTCTTTTTCAATTTAAAGCCAATCCCCCTTGTCCTGTCACTACATGCCCTTGTAGAAAGTCCCCCTCCAGCTGTCTTGTAGCCCCTTTAGGTAGTGGAAAGTGCTCTTTAGGTCTCCCCAAAGCCTGCTCTTTTCCAGACTGAACAACCCCCATCTAACTAACAGATATACAACAGATCTCTTTATGTCCTTTCATTAACATGACTTCTTTATTTACTGCTGTTTCACTACTGATTTTTTATTAAATCTCCTAATCAGGTAGGACAAGAGAGAACCCAAACACCACTTTTCCGCAGCCAAATAGTTTATCTTCCAGGCAATTAAGACTTCTTGGTACTAAATGTTAGTTACATTTTAGGCAAAGCAATGCAGATTTGTAACTTACTTCTGTTAGCATAAATGGCATTTGTTTTATTAACCCTTTGTGTAGCCTTTCTTTAGCAAACAAGTGAGCACAACAAAAGCAGCTTCTGCCCTGAGAACAGTGGTCTGGTTTTGTATAGGTTACTAGTACAGCAAAGATGGTTTTAACAAAGCTAGTATTAAAGAAGCACACCTCTTTGTAAACTACACCCTTAAGATACAAGAATTTAAGGGTAAGATTTTCTCTTTATTAAATGCCTTATGTATTTTAAGTAGATTTGGAAAAAAAAAAAAAAAACAAAAACAAAAAACAAACCTTAAAGAAATATCTTAAGGAAGGTATTTCCTTAAGCACTGACCGCTGTGCAGTGGCTCTCCCACAGTGCTACAGTAACCATCTTCACTTCCATGAATGAAATCATATTTCTAGAGAATTTCTTGAGATCTTATCTCAGTTCACATTTCAAGGCCCAGGAGCAGAATAGTAAGTGGCAGTGAAGTCAATATGGCACCAGCAGCCAGAATGCCAACCCACTGCTCAAACCAGACCCCTAAGAATTAGTTAAATGATGACATCAAACAAAACCAGAATGTGAAATACAATCATGTAAGACAAATAAGATTGAAATGAATTTTTCTATGTCCTTAAACCATGGTTCAGCAGAAAATTTTTAAAAATAGTGGTGTTCTACTTTTATAAACAATACTTTCTAATATTAAAAGAATCAAACTTCTTTGTGTTTTGATGAAGCAAAAACTTCAGTTTTAATTTTGACTCTCTGAAATATTGTAGGATAAAATTAATTCAGGATTTGAAATTCAAAATTGCTTCCAGTTGCCCAGACCAACACTTTCAACAAGTCTAAAGGGTTTTTTTTTACCAATTGTATTCATTACAGTAATGTAGTTTTCTCTTTTTTATGAATATCATTGGTTACTTCACCCTGATACAGATCTGACTAGAATTTTTTCTTCTGCAACATGCTGAATATCAGTTAATTGGACTAGAGCTCTAGCCATAACATTGTAAAATTCATAATCTTGTCAACTCAGCCCTGTTTTTTAGGATTATATTGGCACAGATCTGAAATCAATTTTCTGACTTCAGAATCTGTGTCTGTATCCAGCAGCTGCTGACTGATTGACATGGTCAAAGCGCAGTGGAACAAGTTCGCAATTAAATTTTTTAACTTTTTAATGCAATATTTTCCATCTGGTTTCACAAACCCTTTAGCAAGCTAATAGGAGGAAAATAACATGGACTTGAAGAAAAAGGTGTGTACAGCTCATGGCAAATGAGAAGCTCAGAACACTTCTTGGCTTTTTTTAATTGCCTAAAATTTACTGATTGGATATCCACAGTCATAACTGTTTTTTTTCCACAGATTGCACACAACTTCCAAATATCCCAATGATAATGGTGGGTGTCACCCTTGCTATCCTTCTCATTGGCATTGTTTTACTTTGTATATGGAAATTACTGGTGTCAGTTCAAGACCGAAAAGAGGTGGCCAAGTTTGAAGCAGAAAAATCAAAAGTTAAATGGCAAACGGTACGTGACAGTCATTGATTTCATACAATTTATTGTATTTAATTTGGTTGCATCATGCACAAGTGCCTTTAAAATTCTATGTCTTGGTTTTGTTCTTTTAAATGGATAGATTTTGCTGGTAGGTTTTCACTACATTTAGAATCCTATAAAGTAAAATTGTGATTCTTTTATTGATAAAAATATCAAGTGTTTAATCTCCTGGTTTAATTTCTTCCACATGTAAGAATGCGTAAATAGCTTTTTTTTTTTATTAGTTGCTTTTAATTATTATCCCATCTTTGATTAATTTGAACAAAGTTGTTGGCTGCCTATGTGATTATCAGAGGTGTGCCCCTCTGCCCAGAAACAGAGCCATTTAGGAAAGAGAGGTTGGTGATGGCCTCTGTGATGGGAGCCCACCCAGACAGAGGAGTCATGAATGGAAGCTGTCCAAAATGTAGGTTAAAGGACAGAGAAATTCAGGCCTTATCTTTTATCTATAGCTTTAGGAATCTAATGCAAGCTTACACCACATGTTCCCTTTCCTTCTTTCCTTTCTGCCCTTGACTTTTTTGCTCTTTTGCAAAATCTTCAAGACTTTTGAGGATCTTTGAAAAACAAGCATGTTGAGTAAGCATTTCTAGGGGGTGTCAGGAGGATAGGCAATGTGCTGCTGTTCATTCCGCTCCATTCTCCTACAAAGTCCTGTGATTGCAACATTTCTCCAAGAATGGGCACTGTCAGCCTTTCAGCTTTTGACATGGGGAAAATCCTTACAGGCAAGGCCACCTGAGAATGTTTTCTTGATCCTTCAGGAGAGCTGCATATGGTAAGAGGGAAGGGAAGGATACGCTTGATAGAAGCATTTCAATTTTCTGTCACAAATTGAAGGGATAGGAAGTGATTGATGAGAGACCAGGATTAGAAGCTCAGATGAGACTTGCCCTTCTCCCACCACAGGGCAGATAGCCTATGTAGCTCAAGCAAGAGGACCATGACAAGTAACACCTCACTGCTGAGACACAATCTGTGCTTTTATAATCATCCAACCACCAGGTTTGATACACAAATTATATTGGACACATTTGATAAAGTATTGTTTGACAATGTGCATTACTTTAATCTGGGAGGCAGCTGTGAAGGAGAGCATGTTCCTGACCCTAGGCTGGTTTGTGTTGCCTCTTATAGGCCACTCTGGGTTTCAGTGGCTTGGAATATAAGTGAGGAACTGAAGGCTATTCTAAAATCACCAAAGGTACAGAATTACTTGTACACAAAGACTGTGTGACTCCCATTTCACCTGTTTTTGTTTTGGTTCTTTTTTTTTCTTTTTTCTTTTTTTTTTTTTTTTTTTTTAGGAAACAAATCCACTGTACAGAGGCTCAACAACGACTTTTAAAAATGTAACTTACAAGAACCAAGAAAAGCAAAAAGGGGCCATGGCTGCAGATTTCTACTAGCACCTTCAACACTACAAACTTAGTTATCCTGGCAGGGAATCCAAAAACACGTGTTTTTTCTCAGCTGATTATGTCATATTTGTTTGCACCTTGCAGTGGTATAACCATTCTGTTGGAGAAAATATATCTTGTGTTGGGAAAAATACAGATATTATATTAGAAGTAAAGGTTGATAGAAATATTAAAAACATCCAATCCTTTATTATTAAAGCCCCCATCTTAAAAAAATGGCATCACAAATAATTTTGTCATTAATACTGAGGATTATAAATTATCATATGTAAGCCTATATTTGTTAAATTAGGTATTTACAATGAGCTTTACACTACTTTGTTCATACAAACATACCATATATTTGTGTTTAGGAATGTATTTGTATCAGTCTATCTGGTCGGCTGATTTAAATTTAAAGAAGTTTTTTTTTCATGACGGAAGCTTAAAGTACTGAGGATAGAGCTTCCTCATACCACCTGTGTGACTGAATAGTTTTTCATCAGAAAAAAGTAATGTTATTGTCTGTCTTCTATATGTAAGTTATACAGAAGTATTTCCTCTCTGATTCTTCTTTCTTGTCCTGTTTTCCTCTTTCCTTGTCCTTATTGCTGTTTGATGTTCTTTAAGGACCCAGTCCCTGGGGTTTTCTCAGGGAAAGCTAACTCAAGCCTTATTCACCTGCAGTTGTTTTCTGCTCCAGGCATAGACTGGTGAGTTTTTTTTTCCTTTAAATTCTAGTAGAGAGGATCCAGAGCAAAAGGTAAATATCTGTAAATTAGAGGACCCAGTAGAGACACTTTTAAACCAGAGGATTACCAGAACTCCATTTCACAATTTGCACCCTGAGAATGGTTTAGACACTCAAAATAAACCTCACATGCTGGCCCATCACACAAACTGGTTCAGGAGCCCTTGACATGCAGAAAATATTCACACAAAATATTCAGTATCACACACAAAGACAATACTCTTTTGTTGATATATCCAAAATTCAGTGCCCAGCAGCCAAACTGTTTAGTCATGTGTGAAATAAAATAATCACATTTTTTGGGCTGGGTTATTTGGTTTTGGTTTGATTTAGTTATATTCCCCCAAACTAAGCAACAAACAGATCTATGGATTTCACTTCATATTCATTTACATTATGTTAATGAAGAATTTTACATCTCAGTTTTAGCTAGTTACTGATGACTTGCCATAAATATTTAAGTTGTAATGCTGTTACCATGCATAGCACCAGATAAAAAAGCCCCAAAAAGCAGCTAACATGCTGGCAGAGAAAAATTACAACATTGGGCTATTTTAAAATATCACTAATATACTTCACTTTTTAATAGCCTTTTCAGCTGCATTTTTTGCTACTCTGAAACAGATGGTCAAAAGGTACATATGAAAGTACTTAGAAAACTTAGAAATCAAAGATACATTGACACAGTCACAAACAATCTCATACATTCCCTGTAGTAAATCATGTATTTGATCTAAAAAAAATTATGTCCATTTTGTAATAAATATTTACAAAGTCTGCGCAACTTCAGTCTCCATATCTCCAGTTTCTGGAAGTGAGACTGACCCATGCCTGTTTTAGGGCCTGATCCAAAGCCTGCTGGAGTCAGTGGCTACAGATGAGGATCTAGTTTCAGTGAAACTATTAGTTTTCATTTACAAAGATTGTTTTGTTTAAACAAACTGATTAATACTCTCTGTTAGTGGCTAGAACTTATAGTATATATTTCTGTGCAAAGAGAAATAGTATCAGATGCCTTTGGAAAGAAGGTGATGCAATATTCATGTAGTAAGTACAAAATTATAGCAGTATGATGGAAATTATGTCTGTCATTAAACTGGAACAGATTCACATCTGTACTCCTTGGTATTCCTGCATATCTCATCGTGGAAACTGTGCACAGATAAAGGATTACATCTGTGGCCCTTCCAACCACTAGACTCCCACGGATGTCAGTGAAAGTTACATGTGGGATCAAATCCCGTTTCCCTGGCACGTGGATAAACTCATGGGATGCAACACTGGCCCCTGAATCTGCTCAGATTCCACTTGGGTCAGGATTGCCTAAGGACTAGGGAAATCTGGATTTAGCCCATGTAAGTTATCTGTTACTCTTTTGTTTCTCACACAGAAGTCATCAAATTATAAACTTTCTCTGAAAGAAATGAAAATATTTTTATTACTTTTTAAGTAATAAAAATCTATACTGTTTATTAAATACTATTTAAGTTCTGTTTCTGAGAAGGCTGATTCTGCTGCTCAATATTAGGGTTGAAAGCCTTTCTTCTGTAGGTCACCAATTTCAATATTGCAACATATCTCAGTATTCAAATGTCATTAAAAAGGTGGTGTTTGCATTTCATATCAAATGCTTAGTGGTCTACATTCCATGTTCCTGCAGGAGATTTTGTTTCAAAAAGCTTCTTGCTCTCTTCTCATCACTTGCATCTTCCGGTCATCAGCAAAGATCCAATTTGGTATGTAGACAATGTTTACAGTCCAATTACTCCTCCTAAAAACCTCTCTCTCTGAATTATCAAGGATGTAACAAAATCAGGGAGTATGATTTGCAATTTCCCTGCTGCGACAACTGTACTACCGATTTTCTGTGCACCTTCCAAACTGTCAGGATGGAAATCACTCAAATAATTAAAAATTCATGAGAAGAGAGAAAACAGAAGGGCTTGGTGAGGAAGGTTTCTGTTATTGAGGGATATCAAATAACTAGACTTATTCATATGAGCCATCCTTTTACCAGCATTAATTTAGATTTCAACTAAACTCCCAGATTTCAAGAACTTTCAAGATCTTACTTGGCATTCATCCTAGAGAGAAGAGTGGAGTTCATCCTTTTGTATTAACTATATCACTTTCTTCTTATAGCATTTGTACCAAAGTTCATATTTTTCTCTCTATTCTATTTTCCTCCACTAAACTATAAGTGGGTTTGTGTGTGGTGAGTGGGATGAAAAAGTCTTTCTGCTGTTTTCACAAATACTGTTTTGACCTGAGGCTGGACCTTGACAGTGGACAAAACATTTTTTAATAGTAATACTACTATTCACTGAAGAGTTAAACTGAATTAAAGAATAAACCTTAGCAATTTTAGAGTATTTGTGTATCTTTTACATCCTGTAGTATAGTAATTTCAATAATGTGTGTTAAATGGATCACTTTAGTTTGATTTATAAAAGTTTCGTGTTGGTCAGTGTTTTACATGTCCAGATTGCATTCAACTTTGTTTTGTAATATAACTAGTGAGTAGTAAGTCTGGGATACAGGGCTGAGATGTTAAGTGCAATACTCTCCATGTGTCATCTGTCTTTATGTAGAAGTTCAAGTCTGTTTTGCAGTGGGCATAAGGGAGTTATTGTCCCGTAAAAATTACCACACACAGTCTAAAAGTAAAAAAAAAAAAAAAAAAAAAAGACAATTTTTAGCTTCATCCATTTGAAAGAAACCTGTAAATGTCTCAACTTGTTTGTGTAAAACAGGAGATATTTGACCTTGAATAAAGATTGTAATATTGAATGCATTTTTAATATTTTTTTTTACTGTTCATTCTACATATTCTATTTTGGCATCTGTCATTATCATTGTTTTCACATAATTTCATGGATCTTAGCAAATTTTTCATGCTTTGGCATACCCTAGACATTTTTTTATAACTCCTCTTCCCTTTTTTAAGACAGCAATTTAATGTCTGGATTTTCTTCATTTGTGATCCTTTTACTTTTCAAGGAAATGAATTAGTGAATGAATGTTAACCTATTTCTAGAATCCTGATTGATGACATATGGCCTTTCATTCTTTGGAACTAGATGATCTTTAAGTTCCCTTCCAACCCAAACCATGCTATGATTGTTTTGAATAGTGATCCCTAAATTGCACAACTTGCCTAAAGCTAAAGATCCATCCATTCCATAAGTGTAACAGCAGCAATATCTTTTAGGAAATACACAGCAAGGTGCATATTTTCTCTTTAATCCCTTTTAATTCCTTTTTTTCCTCTAATGAAAAGTCATGTATTTTGATGTTTGCTGATTTCCTGCTCTGAGGAAGAGAACATTACTCTCCATCCTTAACAGAACCATATTTAAAGTCTGTTGTATTCTCCAGGCATGCAGTAAGATCATGTTCTCTTGCATTTCACAGTGAACTGGGAAAAAAAAAGTGATACAATTGCATAATGTGTACTCATGGCAATTAATTTGGAATGTATTCTACCCCAAGACTTCCTTGGTTTGTTTGTTTTTATGAATGGGTCATGCTTAGAAACCTCTATGTTTTTACTGATCTGCATATCAGCTAACACTGACAGATAGCAACTAACCCACAATAATGACAGGTGGTGTAGATTAAAAAAAATGCTTTGGCTTTTCACAGATCTTGGTAGACAAGAACTTTGTTTCTTGAAGCTGTGTTGGTCTCTCTTTTCAACCATTCTTCATGGAAAAGCAGAGAGAAGCCTTTGATTGCAACCTCTTCCTTCCTCGTAATATTTACACTACAATTTAGACTTATTTTTAATGAAATTGGACAATTTACACAATTTCAAGACATTTCTGTATTCAGATAGATGAGGTTCTCAAGACATGATACATTTTTTTTTGTTTTTAATTTTTCCCACAGGGTAAATTTCCTCAACAGGGTGTTTGTTTTTTTTTCATTACTGTTTTCATATTTAGAATAGGTAGGAGTGTAAATAAAACTGAAGTTTTAAGTGTGAAGAAATAGGACATTTCTATTTAATGTTCAGCAGTTAGATGTTACCTGTGCTTGGAAAACTGTGTACCAGCATCAGGCTTCAAATTTAATAACTCCAGTTCAAAGGCAAATTGTATCCCCTGCTGATCTTCTTAATTGAGGTTAAAATTTGTTTTCTCCAAAACTCTCAACAACTTAAAAACCAGACCTATAATTATAGTGTAATTACCACGTAACAAACCCTTGATTGCTTCTATTTTAGGTTATGGTGGATTTGAAAAATGATAGATTTAAAAAAAAAAAAAGAATCAGCCCCCTCAAACCAAGTATGAAAAACAAACAAAGTCCAGCAACAACAAAAATCCCCAATTATCTCGGAGGTGATGGAGAAATTAAACCTGACAATATATCCAGGCAGAAAAGACTAGTTCAGCCTAAGAGTCCTAGAAAAAGAGTCCTTAATATCAATGAATTGTTAGAAAAACTTCTGACACACTTTCCCTCTCCTTCACCAGCATCCGCAGGGAGAGAAAGTCCTCTGTGGTACTGTGTCACAAGCCAGCACACAAGGTGAAAATCAAATGAACCACAGTCAAGAGAATTTGGCTTTTTTCAGAAACAGTGGTCTGTACTTCTTGTATTCATCCTAGAGTACTTGCAGCTACTGCTGCCAAATGTCTGGGACAGCAGCTGCAAGAGAACAGTTCAGCATCTCCTTCCCATAGACTACATGTTTTGGATTCCTGTTCTGATGCTCTCTGAATCTGGCAGATAGAGAGCTTTATTAGAGAGGCTTCTCCCTGAACACATTATTTACTGTGGGTAATTTGTCAGATTCCCAAAAGAGCTTACGGAAAGATTGCCCCTAAGGGTTTGTCCACTAGTGGCACTCAAGAAATTAATTTGGAAATATATTGAGGAATTTATTATGGGCTGGATAATCCACATGAAAAGTGTGTAGAAAATGTTCACTTTGAATTGGACTGGTCTTAATCAAGTCAATCTTTATTTCAAAGTAAGGACAAGAGTGTAAGAACATGTTTAATTTGGTTTATGTGATTTACTGTACAGTCACTAATTTAATTAATTTAGATTAAATTTTGAGTCATTTTAAGGACATAAAGGATGAAAAAGTTTGATATAGAGAAAGAAAGGAAAATTCCCAGCTATTAAAGGCTAAACTGGTTTAAAAGCATTGGTGGCAAGTTGTTTCCATTGGTTAGAACTTTTCGGTGACTCATAGTCACAGCCTCTACCCTATTAAAATTAGAGCATTTAAGTTTTTTGACTGCACATTTGCATCTGATGGTAAGTAAACATGTTAGTAAACAGAATTTCCCTGCAGAAAAATGATGCTGTTCTGACCAACATGTCTAACTCTTCACAGGAAAAAATCCACCAGCAAATGATATTCTCCATCTTCCTGAAATGAGCAGGAACTCGGAAACACTCAGTCTTAGCAATCCAACTTAATTTCTTGTACTTTTTAATGAATTTTCAATTTGGGCATGGAAGAATGCAAAGGAAAAATATTTTTGCTTTTTCCATTGTCTTAGTAGCATAAAATTCAGAGAAGAGAGTAAAAATTTTAACAAGTGGTTCACTGGTGCCTACCCATATGTGGGTGTGCTGATATAATATAAAATATAACTGTATAAGTAATGAAGACAGATTCTATCGCTGTGCAAAGCCAATGGGAGCTCTGGTTTCCAGACTTTCTTGAATGATGGTTCTTAAATCCTCAAATATGAGGCTGACTGTATATCTGATTTGCTACAAAGCAAAATATTGAAGATAACAAAAAAAAACTATGCCTATGCATTTTTATTGAATACAAATTAAGGTATCTAATGCAAGGATTATTTCACCTGAGAAGAAACTGGTTAAAGGAAAGAGGTAAAGTAAAATTGCTTTGGGTTTCTCTGTGTACATATTCTCTAATGAACACAGTAAGTCTTTTTATATTACCTGTGGGATTTCAGAGTCTAAATATGTATGCACGGCTGAGAAAACAGGATCAGCTCTTGTGAGAAGGAGTGTACAAGGTGCAAAGGCACACCCTGTTCCAACCT